TGATTATTTCTTACGCTGACTTAACAATATGAAGTCTGTCTGGGAAAAGTACAGCCATTGTTGATATAATGAGAAATGTTTGCACAGCATCAATGGAACCTGGAAGTCAAGGTTACCAAGGAATGCACATGCATGAACATTGATTCCTTGATGTACTAGTCAGTGGGGATGGTAGACACTGTTGCAAGAGCAAGTGTACTGTGTGGCCATCTCATTCAATATAACTGAGCAAGTAGAGCAATGAATCTGCACTGGATTTTGAGTTAAGCTTGAACATTCCTCCTCAGAAACTATTAAGATGATTCAGAAGGCTTTCAGAAACAATGCAATGAGTAGAGCACAAATAATAACGTGGCATAAATGCTTCAAGGATGGTCAAGAATCTGTTGAAAGTGATCCACATTCTGGAAGGCCTGCAACAAGCAGAACACCTGAGAATGTTGAACATGCACAGTCTACAATCAGGCAAGATCAGAGAAATGTGTAAGGTCCCAGGGCACCTATTTTAAAAGGGACTGAGTACAATGTACTGGGTACAATGTTTCATGTACCTTCTCCAGTAAATGTCTCTATTTTACATAGTACATGGCTGTGTACTTTCTGGAGAGACCTTGTATACATCCACTTTCACTTCACTCATGGAAGTATTTATCTCCTATCAATATGAAAAGTATATGCTCAAGAAAAAAAAACAGTTAAAACATCAACTTTAAAAAATGTGTTACTTTATCTTTTTTTACAAATAAAAGCTTTACTATAAATTGTCTCTAATCTTTCTTCTGAGCACGAGAGGATTTGTGTACTTGATATTTTCTAAGGTTTTTTGATGTTCTATATATTCTTTCTGAAGTTAACATATAATTGTTAGGGCTTGGAATTGCAAGCTAACACATTATAAGCATTCTAACAATAAAGTGAAAACATTTTCAGTTAATAAGCTAAGAGTTTATAAGCTACGTTATAGAAATATTTATATATTAAAAATGAAATTACTTTTCTATAATGTATACAAAATAAAAGGCAAAATTTTCCCTTACTGTACAATTCAATTTGTTTGTATAGATACTTATTTAGTCCTTTTTTTTTAAATTTTTTTTAAAGATTTTATTTATTTATCTTTAGAGGGGAAGGGAAGGAGAGAGGGAGAGAAACATCAATGTATGGTTGCCTTTTGTGCATCCCCTGCTGGGAACTGGCCTGCAGGGAACCAGCCTGCAACCCCGGTATGTGCCCTGACTGGGAATCGAACCGCGATTGTCTGGTTCGCAGGCCCGCGCTCAATCCACTGAGCTACACCAGCCAGGGCTTAGTCCTTCTTATTATTAAAAAGTAAGTAAATATAACTCTGAAAATAAATTCTTTGACTCTAGTTAACTGAGAAATTTCTTAGCAATGTGGCTAGGAGATTTTGAGAAAATATTTTAATCTATTTAGAATATATTTCATTATGATAACCTCTGAAATTATGGATCCAGTTATGTTAGTCTTCCTTAGTCCAAGAAATAATCTTTAGGGGGAAAAGTTGACATAATTTCACTTAATATGTAAATAATTTTTTACAAGAAATTTTATTTTATTTATTATTTTATTTTATTTTATTTGCTCCTGACCTGCCTCCCGTTTTCTCCCCCTTTTAGAAGGACAGAGACCTTCTAAAAGTGAAAATCATCTCCATTGCTCTCAGCATAAGTACAACTTCCTTCACATGATTGGGAGACTGCAGAATCTATCATCACCCCCACCTCTAGACTCACTGCTGGCCACCATGTCTCTCCCTTTCAAGACCTGGTCACAATGAATTTTTTTCAGCTCACGGAATCATGACTTTTCTTATCTCTAGCTATTTAAGCAATTATTTCCTCTGTCTTGAATACTTTTAGCTTTCTGTCTGCTGGATTGAAATGATCTTCAAAAATTATCAAGATATAATTTTTCAGGTTGGCATGAATTTTCTGATACCTAGGTTAAGACTGGACACCACTTTACATTCCTTTGGCTCCCTACACTTCTCCTATCACAGCACCATCATACTTATCTATTTATTAATTTTTCTTATATCCTAGCTAGACAGCAATTTCTGCAAATTTGCTTAAAATTGCATTCTACCATTTAGGTAACTATTTCTTAGTACTCAATCAATATTTAAGAATCAATGAAAACTAAGATTTTACATTTAAAAAAGTGAATCACTTACTTTCTTCTCTTTGGTTGCATTAAGAAACAATGTATTTATATTGTAATAATTTATATTGATTATTAGTTTACTGCATTACTTTTTTAGCTTATAGAAAATTATGTCATGAAACTTGAACAATTTATTAATTCCCAAAATTTTTATATGTGTACTCTAGAACATTCACTAGTCATAGAATTTTCTATATAAAGTAAAAGTGTATCATTTGGCTCCAAATTACACAGTACTATCCAGGAATGTGAGGAGGTAATTCGGAAGTAATTTGGGGCTTCACTGCATGGTTGTCTGAAGAAAAGTCCCCGGTGGGAGTTAGCATCACATGCACATCTGCGCAAACAGTCCCTAATGTGGCCAATGTCTTCAACTCTGAAGATGTGAAGTGCTGTTTTTTTTTCTTTCCTTTGCTCAAAGAAATGTTTTCCCATCACTTTCAGTGGACATCAGAAGTGAATCTTAATAACACAAAGAGACTAAGAAAATCGGGATTTGGAGATAGGTTTGTATAAAGGGGATGTGTGATGGAGAAAGAGATGGAGAGAGAAAGAGAAAGAGAGAGAGACAGACAGATCGAGATAAAAGATGGATATTGGAGTATACAGGCAGGTCAAGAATTAAGTAAAAGTAAAGCAGTGTTGTCTAGCAAGTGAAGTTCACAAATCTGAGCAAGTCAGTGTCTTCAAGCTTTCGCACATAATATAGGAATGTAGGTCCTGTGAGAATTGATTGCGTTTGTGGTAAAGTGTTTCATACTTTTCTGACACTAGATGCTTTGAGAGGAAAGAAAGGATAGACTTGGATGAGAATCTCTTTTGAAATAAGTAGTATCAAGAACTTAAAATAAGCCTACTACTAAACAATGCAGTTTGAGGTAAAATCAAAAGCAATTTGTACCTCTAAGAATAGCATATTTTTTTTACTGTTGTTCAGTTACAGTTGTCCCAACTTTTTTCCCATTGCTCTCCCTCACCCTATCCCCCCACTTCCAAAGTCAATCCCCACCACTGTCTGTGCCAATATGTCCTCTACTTGTGTTCCTTTGTTTGCCTGTTCTCCTTCCCCCACTTATCTGCCCCCACTCTGGTCACTGTTAGTTTGTTCTTTATTTCTAAGTTTCTGGTTCTATTTTGCTCATTGGTTTGTTTTGCTGATTAAGTTCCACTTACAGGTGAGGTCATATGGTGTTTATCTTTCACCTCCTGTTGCTGCTAATAGTATCATTCCTCTGGTAAAATAATGAATAAGGAATGCTGTTTGAAATGTGGCTGAAAATATGCAAGTATTTATTTTAAAAATGAACAAATATACTGTTTATTTTAGTTATTTAAATACAATTTCTTCTTCAATTATATAGTTGGTTCTTAAAAAGTAGCCAAAAATGTTATATACTATAAATCTAAGGCACTGCCCCATTTGGGGTTAATGGGCTTAAAATACAGCACTAAACTGTTATTCTATTCATACACTCCTGTTAGAAATATTTATGTCTATAATTTATCTCAGAGCTATAGACTTTCCTAAGGATATGATTCTCATATTAAACTCTGAAACTCAGAGTACATATTTGGAGACTGGGATGAAATAGTTACAACAGTTTTATTTCTATGGCATTGTATCAAACTCTCTAAAATAGCAGCAAGTTCATAAAAGCCTTGAAAGAGAATTATCTTTAAAATGAATTAATGAACAAGGTACTTTTCAGCAACCATATAATTAACTTTTTTATACATAATACATACATACTAATGTAATATTTATAAAAATACAAGAAAAAGCTATGTAAAAATAAATCACACTGAAATCTAATAACTTGTGGCCAAAATCAGAAGTTAATGGTTTTGTTAATTTTTTTCATTCACTAAACCAATAATGATTGGGTCCTACTATGCATAAATGTGTTTCCTTTAGACAATATTACTTATCTTCTTCAAAACTATATTTCAAAAGTCATAGAAATCTCCAAGTTTTCTAAAGTTTATGCTAGTTGAGAGAAGTTCTAATCAAAAACATGTTTGGTTTTCCTATATCAAGCAAATATAATCTACTTCTTATTCTTCTTAGTACTGCTTTGAAAAAACAATGTAGCAATCTGTTCAGACTTAATCATGGTATTATTTTTAATCACAAGGAAAAATCTCTATATAAGTTTACATAGTGTTAAGTGATAGAAAGTACAGCTATTTCCTTAATTGGGACTTGTTTGGAATTTATGGACATTACCCTGAATCATAATTATGCATGCCAATTAAGTACTTCACAGATGAAAAAGAAACATTTCTGAAATGCGATCAATGACTATTTAGTATCTGCAAAGTTTTTGAGAAGACTCTGAGGAACAATATAATTGGAATGCTGTATTGTCTTCCTTCATATATTTATAGTCTTAGAAAACTAAAAAATTAGAACATCTATGGAATACTGATGAATATTACCTGTTGCTAAAGTAAGTTCTGTGTTATTTAGAGTGACTATGTTAATTTGAATAAACTGACTTAGGGATTATTTTCCACTGCAAATAAAAATTTGAATGAATATATTAATATTAGAGAAATGAGAAATTTATTAATTTCCACTAGTACTGGTAAGTGCTACTCATGAAAACATTTTAAAATTATTTATTGAGAACACCACTAATAAAAATAAATTTTAAATATAAGATGGAAATGATAAAATTGAGGGTCTTACAGAGAAGTAAATTAATGAGCAACACACAGCAATCATACAGAATACCCACAATGCACCACAGCCAGAATTGTCAGTCACTCACTTCAAGGGAATATCTACTGAAATGCTTAAATCCTGCACTTACCAACCTCCACAACACTAGAACAGTTGGGGTCTGTGAAGCCGTCCGGGCACTCACAGGTAAAGGAATCTTCAGACAATCCTGACACACAGATACCTCCATTTTCACATGGATTGGGATCACAAATATCACCTGAGGAGTAAACAAACAGATTTTGATGTTTTTTTGTCTTAACACTAAAGTGTACTGTTTCACATACCTTACTCATCTTTCTTTAGCAAAGTGACCATACAATTTAGATTTACAGACAAAGTATGTGCTTTTAAGACAGATGGTACTTAACATGGTCAAAATTAAATGTTTAAATTTAAATAGTTCACGCTGAATTGCATACTAAAAGCTAGTAGCTCAGTTGGGGGGGTCCTTCATTACATGTAAATAAAATTCTATGTAATTTTTAAATATTAACTGAAATATCTATGGTAGAACTGGTTTGTTAATTACCCCAATAAATAACCTTTCAATATCCACACACTCGGCTCTGTAACTTTTAAGTTCCTCTAAGTGAATTTATTTCTGGATCACTAGAATCTGGGCTTGTTCCTGTGATTTGCTCTGGCCAGTAAGGTGTCAGCATATTTAAAGCCTATGATTTCACTCATATGTGGAATCTAGTGAATAAACTGAACTAACTAGGAAAATGGGGAAAAGCTCATAGATGGAGAGCAGGATGAGGGCCAAGGCGGGGTGATGAGAGTGGAGGGATTGAGCAAAAAGAAAAAGAACTCATGGACATGGGCAACAGTGTGGTGATTGCTGGGGGAAATAGGGTATAAGGGAACTTAATGTTAATAAAAATACAATAAAGAAATTATTGAGCCCTGGCTGGTGTAGCTCAGTGGATTGAGCGCAGGCCTGCGAACCAGAGGATTGTGGTTCAATTCCCAGTCAGGGCACATGCCTGGGTTGCAAGCCAGTTTCCTGCAGGCCAGTTCCCAGCTGGGGATGCACTAGAGGCAACCATACATTGATGTTTCTCTCCCTCTCTCCTTCCCCTCTAAAGATAAATAAATAAATAAATATTTAAAAAAAAGAAATTATTGAATTTTAAAAAAGAAGAAAAAGCATTTGAGTATTTCCACTTCTTCTCTTGGACCCCTCCCATGTCACTAAAATAAGTTCTGGCTAGTTTTCTTGAGAGAAGTAAGACAAACAGGTAAGGATAAGACACAAACTGCTACGGAGAAATAAGTTGTGCCATAACAAGGACCTAAAATATGCAGCCTTGGCATTGGTACTGGGTAGCAAATAAAGTGTGGGAAGGCACAGAGAGAACAGATAAGCAAGCTGGAAAAATGGCTCTCTGCGCCACGTAGAGAGAAGCAGTTGGTGAAGCCGTCACCTGAGGAAACTGCGGTGGAAGAAAATGGACCTAATGAACTTTTGTATACAAGTAATGAGATTTCCAGGCAGAATGGGAAAGTGTCAGCTGGCTCTTACTAGCTTCATGTGATAAGGTACTATAAGAAGGAAATAAGCTAAATAAAAAACTGATGAGTCTGAAGGTAAGAAAAAGAATATGGAAGAACCAGGACTTGTCCCAGGATATAATCTATTTTTTAACTGCAGGCTGTCAAACCCGTGACAGATCAAATCCAGAGCATGGTCAGAAAGACATGACCTCAACATAAATATCAAATCAAGGATACGGTTATAAGACCCTTTGTGAAAACATTTTAAATAATTCAGGTGTAACCTGAAAGATTCTCTCAGGTAATTCAAAGGGTTTCTAGAAATTGAAAGGATATTATCCCTGAGCATCCTGGCAGACCCCAAATGGCATTAAGTCTCAAGTGAAAAGCGGCTTCAGACAGTCATGGGTATGGCTTTATTGCACGGAGAGGATGTGAATCAAAGTCAGAAAAGTCCACCCTATTTTTAAAGGAGTTTTGTAAGTGAAAGTACCACCTCTTAGACTAAGAAAATGAGACTTTTCATAAGCAAAAAAAAATACATCTGAGCCCCTACTTCCTATAATTTCATATTTCTTAAGAACTGTACTAGTTTACAGGAGATTCCCCTTGAATTATTTCATCTCTTTTCTAGACTAACCACTTTAAAATTTTAGAAAAATAAAAATAGAGGTTAATAGATTTGTAAAATTTGTAAAGCAAGCCACTAGCTACACTAGATGATAAAAATACTGAATTAACACTGAAACAGATATTAGAAAAGATAGTCATGAAATAAGAAAAATGAATGAATGAATGAAATAAGAAAAGTGAATGAATGAATGTTTTCAGAATACCATTTACTATAGTAGGATTGGACCATGGAGTATTTAGTTAGGAATAGCTGAGAAAGTGTAAATAGTTTAGATAGAGGAAGCTCAAAACATAACATTGCAATTTATAACATGAAGAGCCAATAATTGATTTACATGTATTTTAAAGTATTAACATGATCATATCTATATTTTAAGACTATCGTGGCAGCATTCTGTTGAGTGCAGTTGAATGGGGAGGTTGATGGCTGGCAAAGGTATTTCAGTACACTGTCTGTCCACATCGACTTTATGTAGTTAGCCGGCCACTCAGCCATTCCTCTTTTTGTTCATCCATCAGTCCACCTATCCTTTGATTCCTTGAGTACCTGTTTTATGGTATGCACTGAGAAGTTTGACATAGAGAACTAAAAACAGACTTTACCATGAGGAAGTCTGGAGCCTACTAGGGGAGATAAAAGAAACAATAACAATTATAGCACATAATGATAAGGTCTGCAGGGTCAATGGAGACTTCTAACAGGAGTGATGCAAAAGGAGGAGGTACATGATCCACATCCCAGGTGAAGGGAGTAACATACACAAAGGGAAGGGATCCTGGCTCATTCCAGGGACTTCAAGTAGACCAACTGCATTTAGAGCATACATGTGTATGAGTAATAGAGAGAAATAAGCTCTGAAAAATGGCATGTTGGATCAAAAATTTGAACTTTATCTTTAAGTAGTGGTAAGTCATAAAAGAACTTTGTGCTGGAAATGTATGTGGTCACATCTGTGTTTTGGAATGACAACTCAGGCAGCATTGTGTTGGATCAAATCAGGGAGTCAAGGCTGAGAGTAAAAGGACTAAGCATTAATCTTTGACATAATCCAGGCAAAAATGAGGGTCTTACTCCTCCTTAGAGGCAGTTGGGGACAGAGAAAGCAATGGAGGCACCATTTAACCCCAATGCAGTTAATAAATACTAGGTAATGAAACAGAAAATAAAAGCAAAAGAGTGCCACCCCTCCCCCCAGATAATTAATCTTGAGCACATATATCATTGTTGAAGTTTTCTCGAAAGACTCAGTCAACAGTTTAAATGTAAAACCGTGACTCTCTGCCTTCAGTGAGAGCAAAACTGCACCGCGTTGTACAGTCAGACGAACAGCATGTACATTGCAGGGAGATGACTAGTAACACCCAAACATTTTTTATGAGATGCCAGCCATCATTTTGTGCACTGTCCATATTACAAAAAGGGGAGTTTTACATTCCCCAGACTAGGTCAGTTGTCAGTAGCAGTGTCCCCAGCCGAAGGCATGTTGTAGATGTTACTATTACTCTGTTTACACTGACAGAAGCAATGTCTCCAGGAGAAAGATGAGGCAGTCACAGAATCCTAGAGCTTCTTAAGCATACCATCTACATTTATGTATTTACCCACATCGAGAACCTCTCGTTCTGATCCCTCGCACTCCTACAGCCACGGTCCTGCAAAGTTTATGAACTGAAGTGGTCTTGCAGCCCAGGTATACCCAGGGCCTTGTGAGGCTGGAATGTCTGATTCTTTCGATTATCCTTTCATTCTGAGTAGTTATGGTGTTCTAAAAATCCTTATTTGTTTTTTTACTGCCCTTTCTCGATGATAATACTTAATCTGATCAGTTTTTCACCAGGCATGCATGCCAGTCATAGGTTGCTCCTGTAATCAAAATAAGACTGGTTGATCTGTTTACCTCTAATTATATCTTGTTGATACCAGCTGCTGTTTAGCTGACTTTTTCTCTCACCCTTATATATTTTTATCTTTTCTTCCTTCTGTCTACTTATTTCTAATATATTATATACTTGTGAAAAGTCATAATTTAGCTCCATTATTGACATTTACTTCCTGAAAGGTAGAAAAGAAGTAATAATGTACTTGGTAGAATCAAGATGACATTGTGACCAAATTAATGTGGAGGCTGAGGGAGGACCAGCAATCTGGTTTGACTTCCAGAGCACCTCCCTGGATGACTGAGTGGCCATCTTTTATAAAGAAACATGCTAGGTTTAGTTTTGAGAGGATCGTTGTGTTTGAGAAGCCTGTGGGGTATCCAAAATAAAAATATCCCATAAAGCTATGAATTAAACAGATATAAAATGAGAGGTTTTGCTACAACATCATTGTTAAGTATGAATATGGAAACAATTCCAGTGAGAGTCTTTGAGGGAAGGGCAGAACAGAAGAGGGGAGCACAGCAGTGAGGGAAAAGAGCAGAGAAGAGGTCCTTGGACACACTGACAGATAAGTTAGGAAAACAAAGGAAGATTCTTCAAAACAGGAAAGAGAAAAAAGAGATCAAAGCTGGCCCTTTCCACTCCAGTATAAATACTCAGTCCATTCACTTAGGGTTTAGTATGCCGAGGTCTGCCGGAGATTATTAATACATGACCCCATGTGCACCTGTTTAAGATGAATAATGTCAACAGAAAACAAATCTGCACTCTTGGATATAGTAGAGGGACAACAGAAGCCTGTCAAACATAATTAGAATCATAGGCTATGCTTTAAATCTGTCTTCCTACACCCAATTATTAATACTACCCTTGTTTCAAAAGTACTAAGTGCTAAGACAAAGTTGAGAGTGCAAGAAGTTTATTGGGAAGTAATGTCTGTAAAAGATAAAATGAGGAGGAAGCAGAAATGGGCAGGAAGGGCCTTCATCTTGTGACGCAGATCTGACATCTGTGAAAGGAAGCGGGGGCAGGGGAGCGTGGGAGGTGGTAGAAGGAACATGAAGCAGCTGAGCTTCAGTCTGTACAGCAGACTTGACAAAATGCTGGCCATTCTACCCGAGAGCCCTGGAGCAAATATTATTCTTTAGAGAAATACCCCAAAGACAGAAATGACCAGGTATTAGTGCCTTTACCACATTCAATCAT